CACCTGGGCAGTAGGCAGGTTCCCAGGTGGGCGCACCCTGGCCGGAGGCACCTGGAGGATGTAGTATGACTGTACCCACAGGTTTCACTGACCACCCGGGGCCGTGAGCGGGTTTTAAATCATGGACCGTATCGTTTCTGCTTGGAATCAGCTTGTTCTGTTTTTCCTTTACAGGGTCTTCTGGTCTCCACAATCTTCTGCTTCTTTAACGGAGAGGTATGGTGGTTGATGGTATTCCTTTGATGTGTTCATTGGAACCATGTATTTTTTTTTCTTAAAAATACAGACAAACAAAACCCCATGAGGCAGAATTATGAATTCCCCAGAAACAACTATTTCTAATAGTGTTTCCCTCAGGACAGAGCACCATGGAGTCTTTTCTCAGGCCATTTGGGGAGGTCAAGGCCAGGGACAGAGTCGGCCTCACGTTGAGATACTCTGTCCGGGGCTCTTATTGACCGAGCCTGGGACCTGCCCTTGGAAGTGACCTGTTCCTCCGGACGCTGACCTGTGCGGGCCGGCCCCTCCCGGACCCCACAGGACTTGCACAGCCTCTCAGAGGAAGGAGAATGGGCTCATTTTATTTTCCCCTTTTCTCTGTGTTGTGTTTGTTTTTCCCTGCCTGGCCCGCATGTGTTGTTTGGCAACAGCTTTATGGTAGATACAAGAGCACTTCTAAAAATTAGACTCAGTTATATAAGGAGGAGCTGCAGTGGATGCGGACAGCGAGAGCCTGGCGTGCAGTGATTTGAAACACAGCCATGTAGTCCTGGACATTTCAACATTTCCGTCCAAGTCTGTGCTAACGGAGGAGTTTCGGGAGTTCTAGAATCTGCTGGTGCTCCATTTCTCATGCCCATGAGCGGCGTGACGCGCAGTCATTTGCCCTCCATTGACCCAGCTCTGTATGTGTTTAATCCACTTGACCAATTTTAACCGCTGGGGGGTTCTGGCAACATGCGACCAAGTTTAGAAACCCAGGCAGCAGCTGAGCGAGCCGGGGACACTCAGTAACTGTGAGTGTATCGCGGAGCTTCAGACGGAGAACAGATGGAAGCAGTTAGCATGACCTTAGAGAACCGTTCCCACCAGACAAGTCAATGTTGGCAATCATGTGCGTCTTAGAAACAATTAGATATCGCTTTTTACTTCTTTCTCTTAGCAAAGAGTAAAACTTCAAGTTTAAGTTTTAAGTTAAAATTGACATGTTTTAATTTGTGAACAGAGGCATCTGCTGTATATAGTGACTTAGAACTGTCCGACAGTAGAGACGACCTTTCATATCACTAAGTGGTGCTTCCCAGATTCCTCTCTCTAGAGGGCCAGGTGCTGTTTTCTAAAGTCAGTGAGAAGTAGAAACAGAACACCCAATCAAGAAAAATAGATAAATCATTTCTGATAATAACATTCAAGTAGCAATAGTTATGTACCACTAAAAACTTAAGCTGAATTAGACAATCCCGTTTGCTGCTTACATGGGATTTTATAATTAAACTTAGATGAGAGGGGTATGGGCAACATGCAAAGAACGTGTTAAGTATGAATAGGCACCTCTGCGTTGGCAGACACACGTGTGATTTCTATAAAGGGGAAATTGAAAAGGTACAAAACATAATCACTGATGAAATATGTGGCGATAGGAGGCAGCATAGAATGAAAGCACAGGTGTGGCAATGCATTTAGACCCCAAAGATCCACTTGGTCCTGGATGGGTCCCTTGGCCAATGCTCTAACCCTAAAGAAAAATGACAGCGAGTTCCTCACACGGGGCCGTGAGGATGAATGGAAGCGAGGAACATAAAGTTTTAGCACCAGGGTGCACGCTCAGTACATGCTAGATTCCTTACTAGATTTGTCAGGTCGCCTATTTTCAAAAATACATTTTAAAACAGGGAAAATTAATCATATTGGAGTGAAATCTCAAAGTGGCCCTTTAATTTAGAAAAGGCGCCCAGGGACCGGCTCACTCCTGGCAGCACCGAGTTGCACTCCGTCTGAGTAAGCAAACGGGGTGCAGCTTTGATCTTCTGCCACGTCCTCACATTGCGAACCCTTTGGCAGTGAAAAGTTTCAATCTCAAAAAACCCGTGAGCCAAGCCATTGCCAAATCTTTCAGTTCCTCCCATCTGCAACTTCTGTCCCCTGCTCTTCGTCTCTTAAGATGTAACCCTGCTTGTGCCTGATTCATTCTCCTCTAGAAACACCATCATCCGCCTTTATTGTCTCTCTCCCCGTCTCTCACACGCTCACAACATGGAAACGCAGCTTCCGGACTCATGGTGTGTGGGCCCAGCGACATCATGCGCTTCTTACAATCACCCTCGGGGGACCCGTTTCCCTCTCGTGCCCCCCGTTAGGTAGAATCGCTTGCTTTGGCTCAGTATCTCTGCTCTTGTTTTACTCTCACATGCTGTGTATTTTATGTTTTAGGCAAAATATCCATTTGCATTTCTCACTAGTGAAATAACCGTGGCCTGACAAGGGCTCGGGTGACATTCTCTCATCTCATCTCTCGTCCATGCGGCAAAGATGTGCGCTGTTTGCATAAACCAGGAACTCCCGTCGTCAGCAGGGCCCTGGACAGTGAAGACTCACAATACTGGAGAGCAGTTATTTTTACAAAGTCAATAAAATTGTGTTGAGAACAACAGGACCCATGTTCTGTAATGAGAACTGGGTAGAATGAATTCTTTGTGAAGCTTTAGTAAATATCTTTTCATTGATTTAGGTTGAGTGCAGCATTGGTTCCTTACCAGCTGCTAAGGGGTATATAGAGTTGTAATATAATATGCTAAACAGTTGGCCTAGCTATTTATATAACACACATGTAAAACAATGAAAAACATTTTAATATCTTTAATAACATCAGGCTATCTTCCCATCCAATGACAACTTTCCTTGTTACCTTTCCCTATTAAATTTTTCTTATTTAAAGTTTATTAAAAGTGGCCACTTTAACGTCCTGTTGAAGGTGTCCATCCAGAACCAAGTGGAATAACTATTCTCAAGTATTGTGATGACCCAGATAACTTTGAAATTGTATTAAATGAGGCAAATGAAAAGCATCACACCTTTATGGAGAATAATACGCACAAACAGATGCCTAAAGGCCGATAGGTTTTAATTAGGCTCCTTGTTCACGTCCATGGTGTGTGTGTTTGTGTGTTTGTTTGCTGATAGGAGCCAGGGTGCTGATCTTAATCAGGGCAGTTCAAGAGCAAACAGTTCAAAAACCATTTCGGCTTTTAGAGGTTAAGCTTTCCTTGTTAAGACTCTAAGTCCTACATTCACAGCTAAGGTATGACTTCCTGTTGGTGTCTTAGTGACATTCAGTAGAATATTTTGTACTCAGTTGCATTCTACTTCCTTCCACTCAGAAACTATATAATGACTGACAGTCAGTCCGTCCCTTAGTAACAAACACAGGGAGGGGTCCTGAATTAGCATGAAAATCAGATGCTCAAACTCTCTTTGAGGCAGTAATCAAAGGGCCAAGGAATAGGGGAGCTTGAGGAAGAATATATATATATCTCAGAGAGGAAGGGAGAGGAAGGAGGAGAGAGAAACATCCACGACAAGAGAGAATTGTTGATGGGCTGCCTCCTGCACACCCCAGGCTGGGGATGGAGCCCACAACCCCGGGCCTGTGCCCTGACCGGAATGGAACCGTGGCCTCCTGGTTTGCAGGTGGATGCTCAGCCCCTGAGCCGCGCCAGGCCGGGCAGGGGAGACTGTTCAAAGCTGTGCATGCTTTAAAAAGACACAGATCCGGTCCCTGGAATGTGGCTTAGAGACTTATAACAAGAAACAGATGGCCCCCAAGCCCGTCTCCTCTCTCCTCAGACACCTGGAGAGGCCCAGGGCGTCGAGGGGGAGGTGAGTCACTGGTCCTCGCTGACTCAGTCTGAAGAAAAGCACACCAGTGTCGTATGCTCAGTTAAAACCAAAGTCACCGTGGTATGGCCTGTCTAGTTTTTCTCAGTCCTCATCTCATCTGCAATTATCTGTTGGGGATGTTTCCCCCCGGGGAGTGAGCTCCATGTGGACAGGAGCCCTGCTCTTTTTCCCCCCAGAATGTAGCGCATCCCCTGGCGTATGCTAATCGCTCAGTAAAAGGTTGTTGTTGCTGCTGGAGATGATGATGATGAAGCAGATGGTGATGATAATGATGATGATGATTTATATTCCCTGCACTCCTATTTCTTTTTCTTTTATCTCTTGTCCCTCTTCTTTTATACTCTCATCCATCATCTCATTCTGTTTCTAAAGATCTTGTTATAAACTTCAAAGTTGCACACACAGGTTTGTAATGGCGTCTGTATTGGCTATTTGTTTTACAACAATGCATTCATATTCACTATGAAAGCTTCAAAAATAAGGCATGGAAAGGAAAATATTAATGGAATCTACAAGAGCAGGGTAAGAGCAATGATTCCCTACCACAAAGATGGTTCACTCAATTTAATTTTTCGAATTAAGTTTAAAAAGGGGGGTTGGGTGTGTGGGTGGAGAGAGATTACCCAGAGAACTTACATGCCTCTAATCATGACCCGTGGACACAGGCAATAGTGTGGTGAGGGCCTGGGAGGGGGCGGGTGGGAGGTGGAGGGGTCAATGGGGAACGAAGATGGAACATCTGCAATTCTTTCAACAATAAAGATAATTTTTTAAAAAGAAAGGAAAAAGGTATTATTATTCACTAATATTAATGCCCTTTTTTATAGCCTTTCTATATAACTTAGGATATTACACAATATCTTCATTTCAAAATGTGGACTGCTCTTGTCCTTTCTGTCTCCTCTTGATCGACAGGTTCAAGCAATTCTAAGAAGAAACTGGAATCAATATAAGATCCAGTTTGGAAGCAGCTTTTCGCACTCGGACGCCCTCCGCAGCGCGTCCTACACGGTGTCGACCATCAGTGACGGCACGGCGTACAGCCACGACTTCTCCAGCGAGCACTCAAATGGGAAAAGCATTGAGAATGTCATCTTAAAGCCAGAGAAGTTAAATGATTATATCTTACCATAGGGGCAGGACTGTTCAACCGTAGTGTGCCACTCTATGCTCAAGGACTTAGATCCATGACTTTATAACCAGAAGACTTCCTTATTAAGTGGACTTCTGGATTGCCACAGAGAACCCTCCTATGAATTCGGTCACTTGGTTTTTGTTTTATATATATATATATTGATTTCAGAGAGGAAGGTAGAGGGAGAAAGAGACAGAAACATTAATGATGAGAGAGAATCATTGATGGGCTGCCTCCTGCACGCCCCACACTGGGGATCGAGCCCACAACCCGGGCCTGTGTCCTGACCGGGAATTGAGCCGTGACCTCCTGGTTCCTGGGTCAATGCTCACCACTGAGCCACGCCAGCCGGGCTTCAGGCACTTGTTGATCAGTGTTTAACAACTAGCTCTATGCGGGTGGGAGAAGCCCTGGTGAGTAATGTTTGCCAGCTTCTGTGGTGTCATAGTCCTACTGTGGCTGGTTTCAAGCTGCCAACCTGACATCACTGAACATGGCGTCAGGAAAAGGTGGCCACCGCCCATTCTTGTGGCTGGAACCGGCCAGTCCTAGCACACTGCGCGCCTTCACAGATCAATGAAACTGTAGCATTTCGTCTACGTGTTGGGCACGAGCCTACTTCTGCTGCCTAAAAAGACGTACTTAAGGCCTATAGCCTTGGAGGGAAAATTAGCTTTTCATTTGTTTATTGAAACACTGTATTCCCCTGTTCATAGGTGATGCTGATTCTTCTTGTTCAGAGAGTATGCTAGTCTTTTCTGTATTTGCCCTTTCCCATAGACCAGATGGAGAGCTCATTGTTCCTGTCAGCTTACCCTCTCCTTCCCAAGCAAGCAGAATTCCTATCGGGTACTCATTTGCGGTGACACCCATTATACCCTGTGTCATATCCATGTTTGAGACTGGATACGTAAATAGTATGTATGACAGGCAGCCCTACTTTGGTGTCGTTAGGGAGACATCTTGGTTGATACTACAAAACCCTCATCAGCTCCTTTCCTATCTGACCACAGGAATGGGGGGTAATTGGTTTCCCTGTATCTGTAAATAAAGACTTGCCCCTTCCATCTCTACTGTGTAGACAAATTAGCAAGTATTTTACATCAAGAATATCAATGAAGGTTTCTTATTTCCTTGGAAGTTTATAAAAACAGTGTTGTGAAAGATGAGCTTGTAAATACTCTGTCATTCTATTTTAAAGCCTCAACTCGAATACATGATGTCGCGATGTATGCATCTTAGCATCTGATACTGTGTCTGGGCTGATTTTATTGTAAAATAGAGTCTGGAATTTTATATTTGGTAAATGTATTAAAGACAACCAGATACCAGCATCAGAAGTTTGACAACAGAAATATTGATAAGATAGAAGATATTTATTAAAAACAAACTCAAGACCCTAGTTTTCTTGAACATATTGACTTGGTGTCTCATACCTTAGTAGGTATGTTTGACATATTTCTCTTTTTATGTTGACGATGAACTTGCATTCTAACCCAGAAAATGTAAGCAACTCCTACTGTAATAAATGCTGGTTCACTACTCTTGTGGGTTTAAGCCCACTAAAATATGAATTCCCTGACTTATCCTATATGAAGGTGTATGGCTTTTGAAATGTTGCAAGCTATTTTAAAAACTATAGGAATGCAATGTATATCAAATACAATATATTAATATTTTAAGAGAGTTACGATAGATGATGACACAAGTCAGTGAAAGATTTGAATATAGCATGAGGAGGAATTGCTGTCAGGTGTCTAAGGAATAATTAAACTGAGATGGAGAAAAGTGTTGCTAATGAATCAAAGGGACATTTAAGTGGGATTCTGTTTCTCTATTTTTTTTTTTTACTGAAATAGCTGACAAACAAAAAGCATCAATCAGTGAAAGTCTACTTGGGGGAGGAAACACCACTGCGTCATGTGTGTCTACAGTGGGTCAATCACTTAACAAGGACTAAACTGGTGACTTAGTCTTCCGAGGGTGTTTAAGATAATGCTAGCTGATCATGTGACATTTTCTATGTCAATAGATGGTGAGTTCAGAAATCATTTGAAGTGTTCCAGGATAATTATCTAAATAGTAAGAATGAACACATTACCTGGTCCGGCCAATGCCTTTATAATGTGCCCATACATATGTTCAGGTGTTATTGAGTTAGTTCAGGTTTGTGGATTTCACAGCAAGCTCTCAGAAAAGGAACTCGGGCTGTGCTGGACAAACCGCTGCCTTAATTACACACAAAAAATTCCTCTGAATTAACTCACTTTTAGCTACTTATAATTCAAAGGCAGATCCAGACCCTTCGCTGACCCTGTTTGCAGATTTCAGCATTCTTCTAGATAAACGGTTCAGTCTGAATTACAAATGACAGTAGACAATGCCACATTATCAGCTTGTATTATATGGAATTATTCTACAATTTTCAAGTATTTTTTATTGTGCTCTTATTAACTTTAGATCAGATTTCCTTTATGTACAGGATTTAGCTATTGTACAGTTTTCATTAACCCGTGTTAATTTTGTACCTGTATTTTTTTAGGGATAATATTTTTAAATATTAGTCTTCTCTAAAGCTGAATGGCGAATTAAGATCACCTTTGCATCTTACTCATAAAGAAAAGGTATAATTGGTATTTTTAAGAGTAAACTTTTTTGGTGTCTAAAAAATGATTTTGGGAATTTCTAACTTTTGAAATGTAGACTGCTATTTTTCTGCAAGTGCTTGTGAAAGTCACATTGTAATTTTTTGAAAAGGCTAATCTGTCATTTCTTTTCTAAAGCTATTTTCTACTGAATTTATTCATGAAATATCCATTCTGTAATTTAGTGGTAGCTGTAGTGCTGTATTTATTGCTTAATGCTTTTTAAAATGTGAAATTATTTTAATTTTCTCTTGGTTTTAGTCTGCTAACAGAAACCATCATTTCTTTTATCTGTAAAACATACCCAAAATATTTGATCAATTAAAACAACTCATGTTATGCCTACTTAATGTATATCTCTCTATTTTGATTGTATGAAAATATTAAAGTTATGAGTTAAAGATCATTTTCACTCATGTTTACTGTGGTACTGAATAATATAATTTATAAACATAATTCTTACAGCAATCAGTGAAATACTTCTTAGAATCCCTCACTATAACTCTATTACCCTCTTTGAAGTCTTCAATAAACCCATAAATCACTACACAAATTATATTTTTAAAAGTTATGAATTTGGTTTTTTTTGATAAGAAAAGTCCAAATAAAATACAATGTATGCAAATTTCTTCCTAGACAGAAAGAAAGAAAGAAAGAAAGGAAGGAAGGAAGGAAGAAAGATAGAAAGAAAGAGAAGGAAAGGATGCCCATAAAGAGGAAAATGAGCAAGGATTTGTCTCCTTTCTTCATTATATTACACTAGAGGCCCAGTGCACGAAGTTTGTGCAGGGCATAGTCCCTAGGTCTGGCTGGTGATCAGGGCTGACCAGGGTCCCCGCCTCCCTGCCTCCCCACCTCCTCCCTCCCTCACCACCTGCACACCGCCACCACACAGTTCCTCCCCCCACCCCCTTCCCCACCTCCTCCCTCCCTCACCACCCCACACTGCCACCACACAGTCCCCCCACCACCCCCTTCCCCACCTCCTCCTTCCCTCATTCCCTCAGCGCCCCACTGCTGCTGCTGGTCACCCACCCTGTTCCGTGCCACCCCCTGGTGGTCAGCGCACATCATAGTGAGCGATCGAACTCCCAGTCTCACAGTCGAACTCCCAGTGGACACTTTGCACGTGAGCCTTTTATATAGAGAGATTGTGTGATTTTGTAGTGAAAAGCAGAAAGAAAAAATAAGGAAAAGTATTTAAAATACTTTTTTAAAAAATATATTTTATTGATTTTTTTACAGAGAGGAAGGGAGAGAGATAGAGAGTTAGAAACATCGATGAGAGAGAGACATCGATCAGCTGCCTCCTGCACATCTCCTACTGGGGATGTGCCCACAACCCAGGTACATGCCCTTGACCGGAATCGAACCTGGGACCTTTCAGTCCGCAGGCCGACGCTCTATCCACTGAGCCAAACCTGTTTCAGCTAAAATACTTTTTTAAAGAGGGCTTATATGTGACTCACACAAACATAAAAGGAAAACACATTAAATACTTTGCTTCATTCACCCCCATGAAGGAACCAGTAATAGGTAACTACCATCTGAGGAGAATGGAAAACTCCACACCGGCACCGGCAGGTACGAACTCCTGGAATGATGGCAGCGGAAGCGAAGAGCTCTACCCGGGAGCCAGAGCCATTGCCTGTCCCTGGGCGGACGGGACCTGCTATCCGTGGGAGGAGCTGTCTGTGTGACGTGACCGTTCTGTCGCTCACAGGGCAGTAGAATCTCCCCAAAAACAGCGCAAAACCAAGGTAGCCCAGGAGGCTGCCCCAGAAGCGACACTTTCCGTCTTTTCCATTCTTTAACCATTTTAAAGTCTTTCCCAATTTTACTCATGAAACATAAGCAGAAAGAAAAAAACAGGGGGGCAGGGAGGTAAAACCCGAACGCAGAGGGAAGGGAGGAAATTTGTTCAGACGGCTGTTTTCAAAACTCTGAATGTCATTTCTTTCTCAGACATTTGCATTATGGCAGCAGACACGCAACAGGCAAGGAGGCGCTGTTTCTCCTATTCTCCCTGCTTTACCCAGGGAATTCCCTGTAGTTATTTTTTTAAAATATAATTTTATTGATTTCAGAGAGGGACAGGGAGACAGAAATATCAGTGGTGAGAGAGAATCGTGAACTGGCTGCCTCCTGCACACCCCACACTGGGGATGGAGCCTGCACCCCGGCCTGTGCCCTGACCGGGAATTGAACTGTGACCTCCTAATTTTTAGGTTGACGCCATACCGGTCCGGCTCTTGTAGTTACTGATGATGCACATGCAAAACAGCGTTTTAATATCAGGGCTCACATAACCCTACCATCCCACATTCAGGATGAGACAATGACGTTTCTGCGAGGTCTAGTTCACATTAATAAGTTTGAAAATGCGGAGCCAACGCTACCCTGTGTGTATATTCACCGCCAGCTCTGAAGATGTGTCATGTGGGGAAATATCACGGAATGTGCTACATATTAACAAATGCCACTGAATTCACAATATCGGGCTAAGCTGGTACCTTAGAGCAAGCATGGCAAACTTGCGGCCCACGGGCCGGCCACACGCCTCGTTTTTTTGGCCCGTGTTAGCCTTTGAGTTTGACATGCTTGCCTTGGAGCAGAGCAGATTAGCAAACCCATTTCCATTAGCAGGGTCTGCGCACCCGTGTGGAAGGCACAGTACGGGGAGCACCGCAGATCGAGCGGTCTCCCCACAGAGACTGCACAGCTGCGATGGGATCCTTTTCCTCGAGCCCCGGGGAGAACGGAGTCGCATTCACTGCTCGGTAACGGAGGAAAGATCTTTTAAAATCCAATATCTTTCACCGTCGTTTCAAACAGGCATTTCTGCACTGAATGCTCTGCCTGGCGCCATCTTTGTCTGCAATCCACAGAAGCTGCCCTTCAAGCTGCACAGGTCATGCCCGACACAGCCCACAGGGGCAGGTGGGGAATTACAAGTGTTGGCTCCAATCTGCATCATTGATCCCCAGCACGAACTAAAGTTTCTTCTGTTCCAGTTGGAGGCCATCTCAACACGCCCCAGGCTCTGGCCCAGAGGCACTCCTCCTGGGAACAACATCCCTCCTTGCTGGTCCCCACGGCCTGGCAGCGTGATGCTCAGCAGGGAGAGACGTCTACCCAGCTGGCAGCGTGCAAGGAGCGAAGGGTGCCAACAGAATAATTACGGTGACAGAAAGTCGCCTCTACCTCACCTCGTCCCCACAGGGAGCGTGTGCCCCGCCTGCACGCGTGTGACCAGAACTCCACGTAAGTGACAGAGGAACCGCATCATGCCCCCCTCAGAGGGCGTCACCAATGCCCCATTTCTGGCTGCGCATCCGTGCAAACAAAAGCAGGAGACACCCCACAAGCAAACAATTCATTTCAACTCAAGCATCAAGGGGGTGCCTATATTTTTTTCTTTCATTTTTATTCTCTTTTTAAAATATGCTTTTTATTGATTTCAGAGAGGAAGGGAGAGGGGGAGAGATAGAAACATCAATGATGAGAGAGAATCATGGATGGCTGCCTCCTGCACCCCCCACACTGGGGATGGAGCCCACAACCCGGGCCTGTGCCCTGACCGGGAATCGAACCGTGACCTCCTGGTGCATAGGTCAATGCTCAACCACTGAGCCACACCGGTCTGGCAAACTGAGAGGTTGTTTGGGATGGGAGGCGTTCTGGCACCATGGCCAGTGAGGACACAGGTTCCGAGGCAGTACTGTTTGAGGAACCTCCGGAAGGTGGTGGGGTGCAGGCAAGGAAGGGACAGAAAGAGATGAGGCCAGAGAGTGACTAGTTACCAAACACCCAGGGCCTCGACAGCCGGGGGGGAAGGCGGGGGTCCGTTGCGTCCTGTGGAAGGGCAGGATTTGGGGCAGGAGGAGTGCGGTGATCTGACATCCGTGTGTGATTGGAAAGGTTCACCCCGACTGACGTGGAGAGCCAACTAGATGGTGGCAAAGCTGGACGCCGCGTGGAAACGGGAGGGGGGCGGTACAGGGTGGGATCAGGGCACTTCTCGGTGGCCATGGCAATTGTCTCAGCAAGAGATGAGGTCAGCACCTTAAAATAGCACGCCAGCCAAGGTCGTGGGAAGGCAAAGGATTCTGGATGTGCATGGAGCTGGAGCCAACAGGATGTGCTCTCTGATTGGCTCAAACCGTAAGAGTCAAGGATGGTTTCAATTTTATTTTATTTTGTTGTTCTGTCTTCTCAAGCGTTGAGGAGAATGGAGTCACACTCACTGTTTATTAACAGGGGAGAATGAGACAGGACACAATAGGTAGAGAAATCAAGAGATCAGTGTTAGTCATAGAAGACTTGGATTCTTTCTTTAAAATATATTTTCATTGATTTCAGAGAGGAAGGGAGAGAGAGAGAGAGAAACATCAATAATGAGAGAGAATTATTGACCGGCTGCCTCCTGCACGCCCCCCCACTGGGGATCGAGCCCACAATCGGGGGATGTACCCTGACCAGGAATTGAACCAAGACCTCCTGGTTCATAGGTCAATGCTCAACCACTGAGCCACACCAGCCTGGCAAGACGGGGATTCCATCAGGTACCCATGCAGAGATGGGGGAGGGACTGCTCAGTCCATGAGTCTGAAGGCCAGGAGGCAGGTGTGGCCATGAGCGTGGTCAGCACACTGAGCATCGGCAACATCGAAACTGGGTGGATCCGCCCGGGGAGAGGAGGAACTCGGGCCTCCGCTCGGGCGGGATGCGGCCCAGAAGCTGGAGAAGGAGGGTGGGGCGGGGCGGGCGTCAGTGGTGGAAGGAGACCAAGACGCGAGTGTCATCTCAGGAGCAAATGGAAAAGAAAGTTTCCAAACAGATGGCGTCCGTGTCACATGCTGCGGGGCCGCAGCCAAAGTGCAGCTGGGCAGGTCCTTGTTCTGGGCAACGTGGGTGTCACTCATGACACCGACAAAGGCGGGGGCCGTGGAGCTGCTGGAACAAAGTCCCGATTCGAGTGGGTCCCCAAGAGAGGGAGGATCGTAAAATAGTCTTTTTGAACAACAGTAAGAAAAGTGACATAACAATGATCTGGCAGAATTCACTGTCGTACATCTGGCCCCTCTAGGCAGAGGACTTCACTTCCGTATTAATAGATTTTCAAGTTGGATCCCAAGCGAAGCCCTCTTTTTGAGGTCACAGAACACAGACCTGAACACACGATTCACGAGAAGAGATGAACCAAAGCACTTCTATGCTTACATGCGTGTCCCAGGGACACGGGCAATAGGGGGGTGAAGGCCCGGGGGGTGGGGAGGGTCTGGGAGGAGGGGAGAGGGGGAAACGGAAGACATCTGTAATACCATCAACAATAAAAATATATACGCGTGATTCTGAGACTCTGAAGGTGCCAGCCAAATCCAGAGAAATGAATGGAAAAGCCATGGTGCTGGCCTGAGTACCAGGCAGGGGGACTGTAGGTTTCCTGAAAAGGTATCAGGTGAGAAAAGAGGGTGCGTCATGCTAACGGGCCCAAGGGCAGCAGGGCCCCCGTGACTGTCCGCTGCTTTGAGTGAACAGCGGGAGCTAGAGGGCCACAGGGAAGCTGGATGACACACAGAGTGGCAGGGCCTTCGCCTCCTCAACAAGTATCAAGTGGACAAAAATATCAGACAAGAAACAAGAGCTACAACCAGCGTATTTAGAGAAGCCAGCCCTCCAACGTACTGTCATGAAGTAAGAATGTCAAGTTCACAATCAAACATTGCATTAAAAAAGTACAACTAATATCTTGGGAATATTGATAGATAAGAATCTATAGTAAAATACTGGCAAACAGAATTCAATGCGTATTAAAAGATATTTTTGTAACCAAGACAATGTGTTTCAGGAATGCAAGAATAAATTGATATTTAGAAAATCTATTCACCTCATACATCATATGGATGGCATGAAGGAGAAAAAATATATAGACATCGAAAACCAAGTGCTGGTTGCCAGAGGCAGATCCTGCACATAGTGTCAGTGATTTAATAGATTCACGGAGACGAAACCACACCCTGGGATAACCTACCTGCACTTAAGCACCATGTGAAACCCTCTGCTTCCCTTTTCAGTGAAGTAATAAAGTGACTCTTCCGTCGTTTCACAATTCCCGATAAATCCTCTTCCCTCAGACCCCAGTTAGAAAGAATTTCTCTGGCCTCCTGAAAACCCAGCTATTTCCATCGTATAATTTTATGTGCTTCTTAAATATTTCTGCTACTTCGATTTGTCTTTCACAATTTTCTCCTAGCTCTGCCCTCTTCCTCTTACCTCAGGCCATGTCTGGGTTTCCAAAGGCCATTTCCCCGAGCCCAGTCATGGAGGTGCAGCTGGGATTTCCCGTTGCTGCTTTCCTGCCGTTAATAACTAGTTCATTACGGGGTCTCGCTCCCACCCACGTCCGTTGGTTGGTTCCTGCTACTCCTCCCCTTAGCGGTTTTCGATGCCCCACTGAGCTGCCCGTGGCTCCTGCCGGCGGTCCCTGCGGCCTCTGACGCCTGAGTAGCTGTAACGCCCTCCACTCCACCTGCTCAGGTGGCTGTGTCACCTTCCTGTCTGTGTTCTACGTCTTCCTCTGCAGGCTGAGCACGTAGCACATAGTAGTCACTCAGTAAAAAGTTGGTCCTCTTCCCTCATCTATTGCAGAGATATGTATTTGAATCAGGAGGGCAAATGTACTCAGCACCTGATTCAATGAAATGGAGTCTTTGAAAATGGATGTCAGTGTCACACTTTCCAAATTATAAAAGTGAAGACTGAGCATCGAGGTCCGTGTCGGATGGTAGAAACAGCATCGAACGGTTCCTAACAACGAGGCCACATGGAAGGAACCATCTGATAAGAAAGCCCCTCAGAAGACCGGTGACTGCGGTTGGGCAATCAGAGTTAGGGGAGAGGAATCAAAGGGAAGAGAGGAAGGCGGAGATGTTTTAAAACAACACGTTTAAAATTCCTGCTCACAGTGTCCCGTCCACACAACAGGGACGCGTTCCGTTTGGGACAGTCTCCTGCCACTTCCGTCTCGGATGACAGCAAACGCACCCTCTCATACGCTCATCATTTCCTGTCGGAGTCCTTTGCCATCAGTGGCTGAAATGGAAAGAACCCTTTTCTTTGTTTGCTTTGTTCTTTTCCTTCAACTTTTATCCCCACTCAGCCCTTGCCGTGTGGCCAGGCCAGGTCCCCCGGGCTCCCTGCCGCCCGACGCCCCGGCCGGGACACAGGCCGGCACCGTGGACGTGAGTGGGAGTCACGGCCCCGGCTGTGCTCCGTGACTTCCACTTGTTCACATGAACACTGAAGAGCCGCTTCTCACTGGGGCTAGCCGTGAGGACGGAAGGAGAATCGCTGCAAACTCTGCGCTTCTCAGAGGACCTGAAGCATTCAGAGGCATCAATGAAAGGATGAAGTGGAGCCAGGATCCGCAAAGCACGCTAACAGAAGGTGACAGGGCCGTGGCTCTGAGGGCTGGGGATGAAGAGGAACACACGCAGCCCTGCTGCTCATTTCCAGTAAACGGCGAGGTCAGCCCCCTCCCTGTCCCAGGTGTGCGGCACGCGGTGCTCCGAGGAGAACAGGCTATTCTGTGGCTTCCCGACGCGTCTGATTCACATCCTGCCTCCCAGGCTGTTACAATGCATCGCATTTGTCCATGACAAGAGCGGCCTCTCTTAGGTGGGCTGACATCACCATCTGGTAAGGCTTCCTTTTCCCCAGGGGCTTGGGGGGAGAATTCAAGGGATGCATGAATTTAGGCACCAAGAAAACTCATCATTTGATTGTCACTGACTGCTGGCTGAAATGCAAGGTCTCCTTGAATGGTGAATGTAGGCATAAACCACAACAGCATTAGTAACATCCGGGACTTTGTCACCGATATACATAAACCACAGCCACAGTCACGTGGCACGGCTGGTGGCCCAGATCTGGAAGTAACTTTCCTGATCACCAATATTTTACAACGATGATACTTATTAGACTCCCCCCTGGATCCTGTTAGTTAAGTGGGTTAAAAAAGAAGCCCACGTGCTACTGTATCACAAGTGCGTTTTTTTTAATATTTGGACAACTGAAATTAAATATTGCCTGCTTCCTTGGCAATTTCATCGTGGATTTTTAAGAATGTTATTCTCACAGAAGATCCACAGGCTTCAACACACAGCCAAAGGGGTCACAGATGTGGAGAGACATGGATGAGATGAGCAAAGGTTCTCAAAGTCATGTGCGTCTGCCTCCCTGGGACAGCCTGTGAGACCCTGAGCACAGCCCCTCCCCAGGGCTCCTGGGTCAGCCTGTCTGGGAAGCCGGAGAACTTGCATTTGGACGAAGCTCCCAGGTGATCCGGATGTGACGGGTCCAGGGACTACCCTCTGTGGATGACCACGACGGCGTCGCTTGGAGCCAAGCATGGGCGGCTCAACGCCTAGACTTGTCTCAAAGTCTCACATGGATGTTAGCAGGTCACCCTTCAGAGGGTCTTACGGATCACAAATGTTCAAAATACATGCTCAGGTGGCAAACCCCCTGGATGAAGATTTATACTTTACACCACTAGTCCCCTCTCATAACGATCACAATACAAACCAATAGGAACCACCAGCCCCGTTATCAAAGAGAAACACATGCTTCCCCGGATTAAGGAATGAAATCGGCAAGGAGTCAGGATGCTGTTCCAGAACCACACCAGAGTACATGGTCTAGTTTTAATATTTTCATCCCTCAAAACTCAACGTGTCCATAGTCTACCAGGCA